CAAGTGGTAGGTATCGCAGCATAGACATAAAAAAAGAGCGAGCATCTAGCAAGCAAAGATAGAAGTGATTTCAAGGATATGGTCATCTTGCCTGAAATCCCGCAAGGAAGAAGAACGAGTCCATGAAGAAGACAAATGGACGTAGTCGAATGGGTCCTCACAAACGCGACGTTATTGGAACCAACCTGAAGAAGCAACACCAGAAAGAAGCACACAACATAGTAAACAGCCAACACATGAACATGGCATGATGCAAAGTGATTCCACCATGATAAACTAGACATTTTTCCACCCCATTTCCATATAAAGTTTATTAAAATCGGAGCTACGGTTATTTAGTTATGAATTAAATCATTTTTAACATGGCATAGGAGCAAATTTAATCAAACAATATTTTAAACATTTTAAACATAGATGAAATTTGCATATTATTAAAGTAGATGAAATTCTAAGCAAGTTTCATATTAAGTTTGTTTTAATCCGATGCACGATTGGAGAGTTATAAAATGCATGATGTTTAGGGGCTATACTGTAAAACTGGCAAAACTCTGGATAATAGACAAAATCGTCTAGAGGAAAAAAGACATGACATGGGCCAAAACTGCTGGTCCAGATGCACAGGAGGCTGGAGGGAGGGCCTGCTCACCCACGGGCTTGGCCCGTTCGGTGGTGCGGTTAGGATCTATCAGCGGCTGGGCTAGGCCTTGCTCACGCGGCCCACGATGACACTGGAGGCGGGCCTTGATCGCGGGGTCAACGCGCGCGGTCTTCTCGTTCGCTCGATCTGGAGCAGGGAACTGAAGCTAACGACGCCGGCAAACTCCGGCGATGAGGGAGGGCGCTGGGAGGCAACTGGGGCCAGAGACGAAGCGGGAATAGATGGATCCGGTCCCGCGCGACCGAATCCGGGCGATGCAGCAGTGGACGGAGCTCCGGCGACAGATGAGAAGGATCCGAGGCGGCGGCGGTCATGGCTTCGAGCTCCCGGGTTCCTGCAGGAGAGAGGGAGATGGTGAACAGGCGAGGGCGAGACGAAAGGGAAGGAGAGGGGCATCGAGGCAGGCCTGCACGTGGAGTCCGGCGAGTCGGCGGAGTCCGACGCGGTGAACCTGCTGGACGGAGAGGTGGCCGCGGCCTCCGGCGACCCTGGTCTCCGGCGAGCGACGGGGCGACGCGGGGATTAGCGGGGTGCAGGCGTCTGGGAGCAGAGGAGGGGCTCGGGCAGAGAGGTGGCTGGGGATCGAGCGTCCTGCTCGATCTGTACGACGACGAATCGAAGGGAGGAGGTGGAGGCTTTTGGATCGGGGAAGATGGAGGCTTCGGCTTTCGCAGTGGTTGGGTGGCGACGCAAATCGAGGGAGATGGACGGAGTGAGGTGATTGGCCTGGCGCTGAAATTGAGGAGAAAGTGGGCGGCGGCGTTAGGGTAGGATCCCTAGAAATTAGGGTTGTCCAAAATGGACTAGGGATAGGCCCTGTTTGAATCATGGGGTTAGAGCTAGTTTGGGTTAGTTGGAGTCTTAAATAATCCAAAAGTATCCAAACAGAGAGAGTTAGAGTGGGTTAGTTCCATCTAACCCAACTATCCCGGTGGAGAGATGCTTATTTGGGTTAGAGTGGGTTAGAAAATAACTCTAACTCTAACTATGTTAGAGTATCCAAACAGGGCCTATATATATATGGAAAAAAAGGGGGAGTTGGATCATCCGATCAAAATCCGACGGTTGAGAATAGATAGGCTAGGAAAATCTAAATAAGAAACGGAGACATTTTGTAGATGTTTGGGGATGATCTGGACCCAACGGTGACAACTGTCCGGGTCGGGTCCGGGGAAGTTTCGGACACGCACGCGAGGGGTTGGTTGGAACTTGTGGGCTGTGCAGAAGGGCTCGAGCTGAGAGAAGAGAAGAGAGAGAGGCCCGCGACTGTTTCTGAAGACTGAAAACGTCCGACGTTAGACCTGCTATAATGCCGCTATAGTTTAACGGTTAGGCTATCAAACGAACTCCGAATGCGATGAAACTTGACAGGTGGTCTATCTACACTATAATAAGACCACACGCCATCTTTCGACCCAATCCAAGAACATTTTCCGGCCACTTATAAAATACTATTTCGGACAAGCCGTGGGCGCGTGCAAGTATGGTCGGGCTTAGAACGAACAACGGAAAGAACGAGGAGACCGGAACGGATGCAAGTTTTGAAAACGTGATGATGCAATGCACATGATGACATGACAAGATGCAACACGCAAGCGAATGACAAGACAACAACAGCGAATAACTGGAAGACGCCTGGCATATCGGTCTCGGGGCGTCACACACGCTAGTGAGCAAGGGGCACAGTGGTGGTTCCCCGTCGACTTCTAGCTCCGAAGAAGCGGCTCCAACGGTATGGAGCATGTTGCAGTGTGACTGGCGCCGGTGTGGAGTAGCAGCGGCCAGTTCCACGTTGAGACATGAGCATCCACCCGACGGCCGTGACGGTGGTTTAAGGTGGGAAGGCATCCCACCAATCTGCTAGTGTCGTTTGGCACTGGCGTGGAGTCCTGACGAAGGCGACTATCTAATGATCTATCATCAAGATGCTGATTGGAACACCGCTTCATTTCCGGGGTGAAAACTCTTGTCCTGACCATAATTGATCGGGCTCAGCAGCGACGAGTGTATATCTTCTTGAAGGCGCTGCTACGAAAGAACTCGACTTAGTCGTAGGTGTTAATTTCATATTTTCTAATGGCTCAGCCATGATTGCCTTCGTTTTGTACTCTGCTGAATAATTAATAAAAATGGTTGTATGCATCGCATTGATGCAAAGGCAGGAGGTTTTAACCTCCTTTTTGAAGAAAAAAGTAAGACTTAGTGAAAGATTTTGGTGTAAACACGTGCCTTTTGTTCTTGAGTACTGAGGCCATAATATTGAGCGTCAAATCATAAATACGATGAAAAGTATGATATCGAATGGGAAACTAAGTCGGGAGTGATCAGAATATAGTTGTGTTTGGTGTTGTGGTAGAATTTTAGGATGGTCCTAATTATTATGAATCCATTTTGCGTTATGCGATGACTGTTAAAATGGACTTTTCTCTTTATACAAATAAGTAAATAAGGAAATAATTATGTTGTATTAATAAAGCATGGTGCTAAACTTTGAAATATCATACCTACCGGTGAAATTTTCATTCACTTTTACTACATGACACATGCTTGCCATATAGCTAGTCAACATGGGTACTAAACAGACGTGCCATTTTCTTATACAAGGCCACAAATTCAGATTACAAGTATCAAGGTAAAATTTAACGACTGTTTTACATGTCAACTTTTTTTTTGTTAACCGGTATCCTTAATACGCCACATGCTTGTAGTTGAAGAGGTTATTATTATCCCATTAATTTTTATTGAACCAAACCAAAAGCTTTGTCTGTTCCATTAATTAAAAAATTGGTTACCCGGTTAATTGTAAAAATCGGGTGAAAATTTATACATTTATGGTCAACCTCACCCTCGTTGACACCGAATTAAAATCGACAAAAGCATACCAACCTCATAAACACAATGAACGGAAACCTATTTCATCGAAACTAGCTCTCACCGCGGCCAGACAGAAGAAGACGAGACTGCAATGGGAGGAGCAGACTTGAAATCTTGTGCAGAGGTGACAAAGCAAACACTCCACAAGGCCAATACCATACATGTTAAGTCTCCTAACCTCTTCGGAACATTGAGCATAGTTCTTCGACACCACCTTCCAGGGTCATTGCCCCAGCATACCTCTGCTCGCCACCGAGTTGCAGCGACGCACAACACAACTGCTTGCAGCAAGCTACACAAGGAAGACGGACGGGAACGTTTGGTTCCTGGGTACATATGTACCCTATATGAAGAAAAAAATTAGTAATTCAATAAAAAGTCAAAAATTTCTAAAAATATTTTTGAAAAAAAACTTGACCTTCCATTGTACTAGTAAGAAAAGTTCCAACAAAATAAAATTCCTCTTTGACTTCTTTTCAAAAAAGACAAATTTTCAGTCAAAAAAGCATGAACAGTGACCTATAATAGCAAATATTTTTTGTCTTTTTCGCTGTGAAGTCAACGTAGTTTCTTTTTTTGTGAAAATTCATATACTAGTGCGCAAGTAAGTCAAGTTTACTCTAAAAATAGTTTCTTAACTATTTTGACTTTTTGTTTAATCATTAAAAAAATTCTCCATATAAGATACATATGTACCCAGGAACCATTGGGTATTTCCCCAAGGAAGACGCCCTACAGACCCTGACCGTCTCACCAACACATCCGTGGTGGTCATCTCAACATATAGTCTGACCACCCCTCCAAGGCGCATCAACCGAGCCGAGAACCCCACCGCACTAGCAGCAAATGATTTGTCAAGCAAGCCATTGTCAAGACACCGCCGGCCTCATAGAGTTGCTACCTGCAATGGTTCCCAAGGCCGCCGCCTCGTCACACAAAACATCACCAACCCAGGGCCACTGCTCGACATCCAACCCTCTCAATGAGAGGGGGCTTCACTGCTTTCGTAACCTCGAATTGATAGGTGATTGTGCTGGCGAATGTGTAGTTCAGTTGTTAAAACCAAAGGAAGGATTACAGTGTGGAAATATACCTTTCTTGAACATAAGGACATTATTATTGATCGAGTGTTTGAGACTTCGAGACCGAGGAAGTAGATTGTGCTCCCTCTGTAAACTTTTATAAGATGTTTTAGGTCACTATAAAAGTTTAGAGGGGGTATTTCGTATTTCCTTCACTTCTTTTCTTTTTTGAGAGGTTTGGATTTCACATTTCGGGATACAGTACACACCGTGAACAAAACGGTGAAATGTCTAGCTAAAACGACTTGCCACCCCAAGATGACAGGCCTGGCATGGCGCGAAGCAAAAGCGCAAATTAATTGGAAAAATGAAACGCTAGTGTACATGCCCATGTCTACGGGTGTTCTCTTCTGGCCAGGCATGGCCCGCGCGTCACAACGGAGCGGCTAGGTCCAGCACTGCTCCACCCACAGCAGCGGCTCATGCAGCGCGGCCTCGCCGCCGTCGTACTCGTCGGCGGCCGTCGCCCAGGTAGGCGAGCACCAGAGGCCGTCCCTCAGGTCCAGCAGAAGGTCGGGCAGGTCGAACAGAGCGTTCTCCTCGCCGCAGCCGGCCGTACCGGAGCTCGCGGCCGATGTCTCGGTCGACGTCGTCGGCGTCTCCGTGGTCTCGGCGACGGAGGAGGGAGGCTCGCATTGGGCGGCGGCCAGGGCGGCCGCGGCCTGGATGTCGGCGGGGGAGGTGGACGCCGGGCGTGGGAGCGCGTCGGCGAGGTGCGGGAAGTTGAGGTGCGCGCGGTGGCCCTTGATGGCGACCGCGGCGACGTCGTGCGCGCGCGCGGCCATCTCCGCGGTCGGGAAGGTGCCGAGCCAGATGCGCGACTTCTTGCGCGGCTCTCGGATCTCCGACACCCACTTGCCCCAGCTCCGGCGCCGCACGCCGCGGTACGACGGGTGCCTTCCGGCCGTGCGCTCGTCCGCGGCGGCGGCGCAGCTGCTGCTCTCCTCACCCCGGGAGGCGCCGTCGGCAGACTCCGCCTCTTGGCTGCCGGTGGCTGGAGCAGCAGGAGAGGTGGCGGTCTGTCTCTTGCGCTTCAGATGCTTGGGCTCACCCTTGGAAACGTCCTGTGCGCCATTGATGACAGCCGAGTCGGATGAGTAGGAGGAGGAAGAGGAGGTGGCGGGTGCATGGATCGTGTCAGACTCCATGGCTCTACTCCTCTCTACAAGCACCAGACAAGGCTCAAGGCTGGGGAGGGAAGGTGGTGCGCGCGACTATAAATAGTGGATTTCTTATGGAGGCCTACGTTTTATTTTTTCTCTAAACAAAAGATATCGTCACCATGCGGAGCTAAAAAAGAAATAAAGCTGATGGTGTTGTTAGGATCTCCGGAATTAACAAATCCGCGCGAAATTCTGCAGCCAGTTAGATATTTGCAAGCTGGTGAGACCACCAACACATGGATGGCTTGCATTGGTATAACGCTATAGTAGACATAACCATACAGCGACCGTCCAAATGCCACCAGGCCAATTCAGAACTCCAGTTGTATAGGAAGCATAATATGCAGTCCGGCCAAACGATAATTTTCTTCTTCTAGTTGTTGTTGTTTTATTTTACAACATAAGATACACACGGCCACGCGAGTTTGGAAGAGGCAGCTGTCGTGCTCAGAGACGAGGACTACACCTCAACAACTAGCCGTTAAGTAGATGTCATCGAGAGCAAGACTCCTTCAATCAATCGGGCTGCTTAGTTCAACACCTTCCTGCAGGGAGGTGGTGGTTACTGTTCCGTGTGCCCACTTGCGCGGGACTGAGCTGCTTGCCGGTACAACTCAAGGATTTCGGGAACAACGATATGCGAACGGCAATGCCGCACCGGCCGTGGTGACTGGTGAGCAAGACCCGGAAGCAACAGCCAGGAACGGTGGTGCGTCCTGCGCCTGGCAGTTTCCACAAAGTCTTCGCTTTACTATTGGTGCCCAGATGCCATCGAGCCATTAACAAGAGTAAATTCCATTAACACGTTCCAGTCATACAACGATCCTGACTGACAGATCTGATACAAATAGGAAGGCCTCAAGTTGCTGAGCAGCACAAAGATTAAATAATAATGCTATATGATGATTTCGTCATGGAAAATGCAACAGCACACACACGACCAATTCACCCAACCAAGTCTGAAATATCAAGGTCTCGGCTCCAAAATAATACTGCTGGTACACGACAGAGTAGGCAATAGGCCAACAAAAGGATGAATGATACTTTATGGCTAACTACCTCATAATCTTAAGACGCCAAGAATAATAATACCGCGCATCAGATCAGCTACTTTAATCAAACGAGAAAGGAACAATAGAATGCAGTCGATTACTGCGGACTGTGCGCCCTTAACACCGTTGCCGGCGCCTCCTTACTGCTGGGCGCACTGCACACCCCTTGGTGCACCGCCTTCGTCATCGTCTTCCTCGTCATATGCTTCTTGCCGCCTCTGATGCTGCCTGCGCCTCATCTCCTCTTCGATGTTCACGTCGTGCATGGTGGTCTCCTCGCACTGGTCCACGTCCATGTCCGACGACTGGCTCCCTGGCCTAGGCGGCAGGATCTTCTCAAGTGACTTGCATTGGCTAGGGGTCAGTACTCCGGGCTCAGGGAACTCCACGCTGAACTCGACAAACAGGCGACCCTTCATGAAAGGCCGGCCGTGCTGGGGCATGCCCTCATCATTTATGGCCTTGTGCTGGCCTATTTTTTTGAAACAAAAGATCACATCAGTAATAAGTTCTAAAAAGGGGGGAAATTTTATCGACAGGATAGAGGAACTGGAAGGCAGATATCAACAAAGGGGCAAGGAAAAACAGATCCACAAGAAGAAATTGATGTACCAGGCTTGATGATCTCCCCAGGATTGGATTTGATCAGAAGCTGCCGACCATCAAGATGGGTCAGAACAAACTGAAAGCCACAGAGAGCCTCAGTCAGAGAGATCGTGTGCTCAACAAATAGGTCATCCGACTTCCTCTTGAATTTTGGGTGCTCTTTAAGTTGCAAGACAAAAACAATGTCTCCTGTCACTGTATCAGGCTGCAAAAGCATGAATCAGCATCGTTAGAAGGATACTCCTAGATATTGTGTGCATGCAAGTGTTGAGTGCTTCAACAGATGCAGACATGTGTGCATTTGACGCTTGTGTGTGTAAAAGAGACTCACAGCTTCATCAGCTTCACCCTGGAATACAATCTTTTGGCCATGTTGCATTCCCTTCTCCACATGAACCTCCAAGACCTTCTTCTCCTGGGATACTTTGTTCCCTCTGCAGCTTGGGCATCTATCCTTGTCATTTATCATCTCGCCTGGACAGATGAAGAATTACAAAACTACTAAGGAAACAGATACAATCATTAAATAAAGAAGATAGAACAGAATCATACCTGATCCTCTGCATTCAGGGCAAACAGTATTCATCTGTTGGATCATGCCAGGTCCGATCTGTCTTGTTATCATCCTCATTCCTGCACCACGACAACCACTGCAAGTAGCCGTTGCCCCGCTCTTGGATCCCTTTCTGAATGTACAACATGATACAGTGAGATCCCTACGACTAATACAGGCATGGAAAAATAATCTTGTACAGAACAACAGCTGCAGTACAAGTACAAGTTGCAAGCTACATTGACAAGAGTAAAAATAAACAACATCAGAATCAGAAGCAAACAAATCTGCATCGATCCAAGGGGCTAAATCAAAGCTTGCACCCTCACTCATGCAAAGATGCAATGCAGCAGTAGTTGTTACATGGCTATTTGTTTCAACACACTCCACTTCCACTCCATCAACTAACTAGTACTCCCTCTGTGCGGAATTACTTGTCGCTCAAACAGATGTATCTAGCACTGAAATACATCTAGATACATCCATTTTAGCGACAACTAATTCCAGATGGAGGTAGTATATTTTTTAGGGAATAGTCAATTTCAGAATTATATACAGATATGCCATGAATAAAATCAAGTCACGTCATCACATTTCTTCTTTCCACCGCTGACTACTAACTGGGAAGTGTGCGCATATCAAGGACAGGCAATTAGCTACCCCTTAAGAGCAAAAGAATAGAATACGGGAACCAATTAACAGCCACTGAGAACAATAAGAGAATTTGAGTGGAAGACAAACAAAAAAAATACATAATCCAACAACAACTAACATCTTTCAGCAACCAGACCTGGTCAAAAGCATGTTTTACAGTGATTTTTTATCACCAAAAATGGACAACGATCCACCCTTCAATAAGAAAAGACTCTTTTGTTTGTAAGAAAGGATGAGAGAGAGATGGATTAGAAAAAATATCCCCCTTTTTTCTTTATCTTTTATTTCTATAGATCAGACATTTTATTTTATGGAAGAAAAACAAAAGGATTTAGTTCATATTCACGAAGCCCTAAATTTTTGGGCCGAGCTGGATTTGAACCAGCGTAGACATTGTACATACAACAAAAACATGTGAATATAAACAGGACAAGGTTCAACTTCTCGGCTGATGAAATAAAAAGCAATACTACCAGGCAATACATGAACTACATTACTTTTGTTATTACATATAAAAAACTGATAGCTTGCATATTAATATCATGATGATTTAGCTCTAGAAATATTGCAAAACCAAGTTTTCTGAAACATAGGATCTCTTTCACCACAATATTTCAGGAGGACAGAAAGAGAGCAAGTTTGGGCTGTTCTACAGAAGCACCCATCATGGTTTTATATTAGACAGAGCAGAACTGTGTCACAAAGTCGGAGGTAATGATATTAACACCAGATAACCATGTATACTTTGTCAGAATTCCTTCCTTAAGAAAGTAGTACTGCATATGCTCCAAATTTGAGCACAATAACAGAAGAAAGACAGATTACCAACTAAGAACTTACAAAAACTTACCCCTTGCATTTTCCACAAAGAACATTCCGTGATAAAGATAGCTTCTTGGTAGCACCATTGTACAAGTCTTCTAACGAAACCTTCATGGTATGCACCACATCTTCACCACGCTTTTGTCTGCGTCCTCTCGAGCTACCCCCTTTTATCCATAAAATCACATGTAAGTGCATATGTATTTAATTATTAGAAAGTGAGTGCATGACTATTTAACTCGCTCAAAGCAGGATAATGGAACAAAGCACAAAGAATTTCATATCATAAAACTACTACCTCCAAAGCCGCCGCCGCCACCCCCAAATAGCTGTTCGAATATGTCAAAGGGGCTATGCATATCAGCGCCGCCGCTGCCTCCCATCCCTTCTTTGATTGCATCTTCTCCATATTGGTCATAAATCTCCCTCTTTTCAGGGTCATTGAGAACATCATAAGCTTGTGCCAATTCTTTAAACTGCGCAAGATACAAAGAAGCGTCAACAAACACCAATCTAACAATAGCAAAAGTAGGCACATACAAAAGCGCTTGCCAACACACCTTCTCAGGGTCTCCGCCCTTATCAGGATGGTTTTTTATAGCAGCTTTCCGGTAAGCTTTCTTCAACTCATCCGGGGTTGCTGTCTTGGATACACCAAGCACCTCGTAGTACTTGGTGTTGTTGCTGGTCTTCCTTGGCATGCGTCCAAACATGGCTGGTAAATGGGCTTCCTGGGAGATAACAGCTTAAATGAGATCTCCAAGAGATAAAAGCACTAAAGTCCAACATTTTTGCCAAAAGAAACATATATACAAGACTTGCAACTCTAAACATCGGTTGGCAAGTGACTAAAGAAAGGCAGCACATTTAAGGAAGTATAATGACAACAGGAATATGTTCTATTCCACAAACTACTAAACAATCAATCCTCTTTCTATGAAATCGTGACATGTATACTGGCGGGCTTTCTTGCCTAAACTAGTTCTCATAAAGGAAAGCATTGAGCAGTCAAGTTCAAAGGCATCCTGTTAAATTAGAGAGTATAGTACATATAAGGACGGTATACGAAGGCATCAGGATACTAAGTCATGGCAAATCAAGTTAAACCACTCCTCCATCTATCTTATCCGCACAGCCACGAATCTAACCACCCCGCCACAGAAATCGTTCGCCGCTCCTCGGATCCGCCGGGCCAGGCAAGATCCGAAAGCCAACGAACGCACAGATCGAGCAGGAATCGGCTAATTTTCTCTTGAAGATAACACGTCCGCGATCTGCCCGGGCGCTGAGACGGAGAAAACCACGAAAGATTGGAGGTTTCGTGGCGGATCGTTACCTGGCCGGCGGCGCCTAGGGTTTGGAGGGGCCGGCGGGGGAGGAAGGCGAAGAGAGGAAATCGTAGACGGCTCGAGCCAGAGACGCAGGGAGAGAGGGGGCGGCCGCGACCGCGGTTGTTTGGCTTTAATACGGTCCGGCTATGCGCCTCCTGCACGAATTGGTGGTGTGAATAGGCCGTGTGGAACGGAGACCACCGGAATCGGGTGTGGTTCGGCCGCTTCGGTTGTTTAGGCGTGTCAGCGTGTGACGTTCTCTATCCCTACCATCTGTTTAATTCTATTTTTTTTTTGAAAAAGTCCAAAACAAACCCTGTTTTTTAATGAAAACTAAGTCGAACCCTGAAGATTAAACCCCTGAAATCAGCACACCAAACTCTTGGTTCCCGATCTATTTTAAATAAACTTTAAGTCGTTCCCAAATAAGAATTGTTGACATGGCAGCTCAATCCGGAATCGTTAGCTGCCGCCGGACACTACTAGCCAGCCTACCAGGCGCGGAGCGTGTTTTATTTCCGTGATACTCCTGGTGTTGTTGAACTAGTCCCGCTAGCCACTCTACCTAATTATACTCTCTTTTACCCCGCCAAAAAAGAAACCCGCGGCGTCGAGATTTGAAGACATTTCTAAAAATCAAAATATTTTCTTGAAAAGTATCAAAAAAATGAAATCCGAACATTTTTTGGAATTTTTCAAATTACAAACTTTTTAAATAAACACAAACAAAATTTGAAAACACAGACCATATTTTAAATCCCCAAAAAAAATTTCTAAAGTGAGAACACTTTCTGAAAAACAAACAATTTTGAAACCTGACCAAAAAGTTAGAAAGCATTCGCACGTTAAAATTTTGTTCCCATTTTTACAAAATATGTTTTATGTTTCAAAAAAACTTGTTTTGAAAAATTCTTCAAACTTTAAAAAAACTGTTCAGGTTTCAAAAAATGTTCGTGTTTTCAAACTTTGTTTGTTTTATTCAGTAAGTGTTAGCACTTTAAAAAATTGTTTGGGGATTTTGAAAATGGTTCATGTTTTCAAATTTTCTTTCTATTTTTCAAAAAAATGTTTGTAATTCCTAAAATTGTTCACATTTTTACAAAAACAATGTTTGGAATTAATTGTTTTTCTTTTAGGAATATTTGTATCTAGAAATTGTTGAAAATTTTCAAGAAAATAACATGTTTTCAAATCTTGACGTTGTGGTGTGTGGTTATGTAATTTTCCGCTTCTCATTTATCACCAAAAGACATCAGTTACACTGGCTGGCAAGATGAGTTCAAAAGCACCATATCCCAAGTTCAATCCCTGTTAGTCTTAGATGGTTAAGGTTTTCTAACCATGGACATGAGTTGTCATTTGAGGACGGGATCACATCATTAGGAGAATGATGTGATGGACATGACCCATCCGTTAGCTTAGCATAATGATTGTTCAGTTTTATTGCTATTGCTTTCTTCATGTCAAATACATATTCCTTCGACTATGAGATTATGCAACTCCCGGATACCGGAGGAATGCCTTGTGTGTAATCAAACGTCACAACGTAACTGGGTGATTATAAAGATGCTCTACAGATATCTCGAAGGTGTTTGTTGAGTTGGCATAGATCGAGATTAGGATTTGTCACTCCGAGTATCGGAGAGGTATCTCTAGGCCCTCTCAGTAATACACATCATAAGCTTGCAAGCAAACGACTAAGGATTTGGTCACGAGGTGATGTATTACGGAACGAGTAAAGAGACTTGCCGGTAACGAGATTGAACTAAGTTCACCGACGATCGAATCTCGGGCAAGTAACATACCGATAGACAAAGGGAATAATGTTTGTTGCCATAACAGTTCGACCGAGAAAGATCTTCATAGAATTGTAGGAGCCAATATGAGCATCCAAGTTCCGCTATTGGTTATTGACCGGAGATGTGTCTCGGTCATGTCTACATAGTTCTCGAACCCATAGGGTCCGCACTATTAACGTTCGATGACGATATTGTATTATATGAGTTATGTGATTTGGTGACCGAATATTGTTTGGAGTCCCGGATGAGATCACGTACAGGACGAGGAGTGTCAAAATGGTCGAGAGGTAAAGATTGATATATAGGATGATAGTATTCGGACACCGGAAGTGTTCCGGAGTGTATCAGGTATTTATCGGAGTACCGGAGGGGTTACCGGAACCCCTGAGGGAATATATGGGCCATGAGAGGGGAGCACACTGTTGGGGAACGTAGTAATTTCAAAAAAATTCCTACGCACACGCAAGATCATGGTGATGCATAGCAACGAGAGGGGAGAGTGTTGTCTATGTACCCTCGTAGACCGAAGCGGAAACGTTGACGCAACGTAGAGGAAGTAGTCGTACGTCTTCCCGATCCGACCGATCCAAGCACCGTTACTCCGGCACCTCCGAGTTCTTGGCACACGTTCAGCTCGATGACGATCCCCTGGCTCCGATCCAGCAAAGCGTCGGGGAGGAGTTCCGTCAGCACAACGGCGTGGTGACGATCTTGATGTTCTATCGTCGCAGGGCTTCGCCTAAGCACCGCTACAATATGACCGAGGTGGAATATGGTGGAGGGGGGCACCGCACACGGCTAAGGAATGATCACGAGGATCAACTTGTGTTCATGGGGTGCCCCTTGCCTCAGTATATAAAGGATGGAGGAGGAGGAGGCCGGCCAAGGCAATTGGTGCGGCCAGGATGTGGAGTCCTACTAGGACTCCAAGTCCTAGTAGGAGTCCACCAAGAGGGGAGGAAGGGAGAAGGAAGTGGAGGAGAAGGAAAGGTGGCCGGCCCCCTTTTCCCTAGTCCAATTCGGACTAGAGGGGAGGGGGGGCGCAGCAGCCCCTTGGCTCTTTCTCCTCTTCCCACTAAAGCCCATCAAGGCCCATTGCTTCTCCCGTAACTACCCGGTACTCCGAAAAATACCCGAATCACTTGGAACCTTTCCGATGTCCAAATATAGTCATCCAATATATCGATCTTTACGTCTCGACCATTTCGAGACTCCTCGTCATGTCCCCGATCTCATCCGGGACTCCGAACTCCTTCGGTACATCAAAACTCATAAACTCATAATATAACTGTCATCGAAACTTTAAGCGTGCGGACCCTACGGTTCGAGTACAATGTAGACATGACCGAGACACGTCTCCGGTCAATAAACAATAGCGGGACCTGGATGCCCATATTGGCTCCTACATATTCTACGAAGATCTTTATCGGTCAGACCGCATAACAACATACGTTGTTCCTTTTGTCATCAGTATGTTACTTGCCCGAGATTCGATCGTCGGTATCTTAATACCTAGTTCAATCTCGTTACCGGCAAGTCTCTTTACTCGTTCCGTAATACATCATCTCACAACTAACTCATTAGTTGCAATGCTTGCAAGGCTTATGTGATGTGCATTACCGAGAGGGCCCAGAGATACCTCTCCGACAATCGGAGTGACAAATCCTAATCTCGAAATACGCCAACCCAACATGTACCTTTGGAGACACCTGTAGAGCTCCTTTATAATCACCCAGTTACATTGTGATGTTTGGTAGCACACAAAGTGTTCCTCCGGCAAACGGGAGTTGCATAATCTCATAGTCATAGGAACATGTATAAGTCATGAAGAAAGCAATAGCAACATACTAAACGATCGGGTGCTAAGCTAATGGAATGGGTCATGTCAATCACATCATTCTCCTAATGATGTGATCCCGTTAATCAAATAACAACTCTTTTGTTTATGGTTAGGAAACATAACCATCTTCGATTAACGAGCTAGTCAAGTAGAGGCATACTAGTGACACTATGTTTGTTTATGTATTCACACAAGTATTATGTTTCCGGTTAATACAATTCTAGCATGAATAATAAACATTTATCATGATATAAGGAAATAAATAATAACTTTATTATTGCCTCTAGGGCATATTTCCTTCAGTCTCCCACTTGCACTAGAGTCAATAATCTAGTTCACATCGCCATGTGATTTAACAGCAATAGTTCACATCACCATGTGATTAACACCCATAGTTCACATCGATATGTGATCAACACCCAAAGGGTTTACTAGAGTCAGTAATCTAGTTCACATCGCTATGTGATTAACACCCAAAGAGTACTAAGGTGTGATCATGTTTTGCTTGTGAGATAATTTTAGTCAACGGGTCTGTCACATTCAGATCCGTAAGTATTTTGCGAATTTCTATGTCAAGAATGCTCTGCACGGAGTTACTCTAGCTTATTGCTCCCACTTTCAGTATGTATCTAGATCGAGACTTAGAGTCATCCAGATCTGTGTCAAAACTTGCATCGACGTAACTTTTTACGATGAACCTTTTTGTCACCTCCATAATTGAGAAATATTTCCTTATTCCACTA